TTTGTTTTTATTGTTGTTGTGTTGTGGAAGAACAGTATCTTGTTTTCTGCTTGGGAACTCTGTGGCCTTCTGGTCTCAATATCAAGTTCAATAATTTTAGAATCGAAGCATCTCCTTCTATGTCCTATCAGCATAGCCGACCAATTTCACCTACTTGTGGTCCACATTATTAGCATTTCTCTTCCCCTGGCTTATTATCAGCTGTCTCTTTGTCTACCTAATGTTCCTTTCTATCCCTAGGCTCCCTCTCTAATGTAACCCTAACACACCCACCCATAGCTGTGATTCCACAACTGGATAACACATTCTGAACACTCCCAAGTGCGTTTGTTATACTGACAATGAGATTAAGGCAATCAGTTGAGCTCATCATGTGGCTCATTTACACTTGTGAGAAATGGCATACTTTCCTTCTCCATGAACAAAAGAGATATGCTGAAAGCCTTACTCCTTTTTTTGAATTGCACAGGCCATTGCTTTCTCCACGGCAACACCTCAGCTAGTCAGACTGGATGTGTCAACCAATCACATTCCTTGTCTCCAATCATTTGAAATTTGGCATTCTTGTGTTTGTCCTGATGTGTGCAAGATGAGCACTCTCACAGAACCCCTACAGTGCAGATGCAGACCATTTGGCCCATCGAGTCTACACCAAACTGCATCCCAACCCCACTCCATAACCCTGCATTTCCTTTAGACCAATCCACCCTAACCTGCATACCTTTGGACTGTGAGGAAACTGGAGCACCCGGAGGAAACCTGTGCAGACATGGGGACAATGTGCAAACTCCACACAGACAATCACCCGAGGCCGGAATTGAACCCGGGTCCCTGATGCTGTGAGGCAGTAGTGCTCACCACTGAGTCCTCTCTCTCTGTCTCTCTCTGTCTCTCTCTCTCTCTCTTTCCCCCAACCCCACCAGCATCGCGCCCCCCACCACCCCCAGCAATATTCAGTCATTATCTGTAAAGGAAGAATTTACAAACATACACTGCAGAAGCAGAGTAGGTCATTTGGCTCCTTCAGTAAGACCATGGCCTATAGTTCCTTAATCCTGGAGATCCGGGGGCAGGGGGTGGTCTTCAGAGGGTCAGTACAGACTCGATGGGGCAAACAGACTCTATCTGCACTGTAGCGATTCTATGATTCTACAACTGGACTTGAGTTGATCTG